CGCGTTCAGCTCGTGTGGGTCCGTGGCACCGGTCGTTATTTCAGGTTCTTCAGAAAGGGTAGAGGAATCGGCCACCCTCACAGGTTTTTCAAATACATCACACTTTAGTCGTTCCAAAGCTCTTGTATGGTACGGCTGATGTATGGAAGCTCCCTTCCATACATCAGCCAAGCTGGCGTTTTGCCCGTGGCGACGTAAACGGCTCCTCTCGACTGCACGCGGGTCAAATGAACCAAAATGAAGAGCCAACAGCGCGATGGGAATTGGTAGCAACGGTAGTACTCGCCCGGTGAACGACACGCGAAGCGGCGTGTTGTCTGTCGGCAGTCCCGTCGAAAAAGGCAAAATAAAGACACAATTAAATACAATATATTATCCAAGAAATATCGCGCGCAGAAGAGAATACAAACACTTAGAAGCCATAAAAAATACACTTGAATAGATAAAAATAGGTACTGAAATCGAAAAACAGAGGATTAAGAGGAGACAAGCGACAAGGCAATGCGATCTCACGGCAGAGCGGCCAGGCCAGGGACAGTCTCTCCCACAATTCCTCGCGCGCGGGTCGGGGCGCTTGGGGGATTTCACAAAAGGGCTATTTCGTTTCCTTTTGCCAAAAAAGAACCGTACGGTTATGCTTTTCCCCGAAACCTATCCCCACTTATGGCAAAGCTTCCCTCACCGTACCCTCGTACTCTCACTAGGGGAAAGGGTAAACGGTCGGTCGACTTTCAGATGCGTTTTATTTATTGCTCTGGAGCATGCATGCTGTCGTCTTTAGTTTGGACTGGATGTTTCGTGAGGCCACGGCGCAGTTCCCGCCTTGCTCTCTTGTTCCGTTTGTGCGCTCGCTACGACAACGTTTCCTCTTTCGTAAGAGGAAAAGAGTCTTCTCGCAGGCTTGCAATTAGAGATGCCGTGAAGTTTTTTCGACCGTGAGGTTCGAAGATCGAATAAGGGGCTTTAAAGGTTCGAAAGCGGTTTGAAGTGTTAAACTTATTACATAAAATGTCCAACGATTTCCGAACTTCCGAATTTTGGCGCAAAAAAAAGGACATTGTTTTCGAACTGTCGACCTTTTAGCGGTAAGAATTTCGACATTTTCAAACTTTAGACCTCATCACGTTGAGAAATTCGACGATTGCTGAACTTTCTGATCTGCTAAGATAAAAAGTCGACAAATTTCGAACTTTCGAATCTACTAAGATCAAAAGTCAAAGAATTTTGAACTTCTGAAAAAAAGGTTCGGAGACATTCGAACCAAGTTACGCCCCAAAGGTTTAATACCGCCTCGGTGGTTCCGATGCGAAGTGCCGGCCTACGTATCCTCAAGTGGCGGGTTCGAATCCCGGCCGAGGTGCCTGCAATCTGATGGAGGCTTATTGCGGAGAAGACGCTGTGCAACATAGCCTTCGGTTGCACGCCGAGATACCCAGGTAGTCGAAATGAATCCTCAGTACTCCGCTGTCGCGTGCCAGATGTCCGTCATTTGTTTTGGTAGGTGAACACACGAAATTCGATCCAAAGGTTTAAGGCGACCAATATTTATAACGCAAGATCCTAATGCATCGAGGGGAGTGAAAACTGCACTGGGGTTTCACCGAGCCAATCGGGCCACCGACGACTCGCTGTTAAAGCTCTGAATACTCGCTTTGAGCTGACCTCAATGCTCCTCTTCATCCGACTTCCGCACACAGCATTTTTTTCACAACTCCGTAGGTTGCCACGAGGTAACCGGTGGGCCAATGGATCCCTGGTCTGCAGGCTTGAAATTCAACCAAGGCGCCTCGCTGAGGCATCCTTTATAACCTTAGATGTTTGTGAACGCAAGTCCACGATATTCGCGAGTAAGATACTAGAGAGTTTTAGTAGATCGTGTTTTTGGGCCACGCTCTTTGTAGCGGGAGCTTGCGCTGCACCTTCGATGCATGCTCCGAAGCGCGCGCCTGTAGCGGTAGCGGGCCTTTAAAAACGATCTACTAAAACTCTCTACTGGTGGGGGAAAGGCGCGCGCGTAGCACGACACCGAGGCGCTACAGTGAACGTTGTCGAATCGGCGCGTACTTTATCATTATTAGAGCCGGATGTATTTTAGAGATGGCTATTATTTTTCATCAAAAACGAGTTCCAAAAACTGGCATTATGGTGAGCCCGATGACGACCGGTCGTGACTTGATCAGTGTATTTTTGGCGGTCGGGTTACCACCTTAAACAGTTTGGTTGCGTTCGTCTCACTTTGAGCTGTGTCGGGTGCTGTGCCTGTGTCCAGTGTTTTCTCCGCCCTACGGGTGATCCCACCAAAAATAAACGTCCAGAGCAACTGAAAACTTTCGGGAAGCCTGGATGCCTGTATGTGCGTGCCTTGTCTTGTATATTTCGGTGTCTAATGCCAGCACCTTATTCAAGCGACGTTTGATCGGACTGCTACTCATTTGCAAAGGGCTAGAGAGTATGATCCAGATACAAATTATATCTCGGGGCTTTTTAGATGGAGAAGCTTTCAAGCAATTCAACGCTTGTTCATGGTTTAAAATAAACAACGAGTAGTAGTACCGTCAGTACCACAGTACTAAGGAGGCATAAAAAAAATGCGCTACGTTTTCAGCGAAATTTGTAGCACATTTCGTGATTTTGTTAACATGGAGTCATCAAAACTGCATTTGAAACTGCGGAGTTTTAGTTCCGTCCGTGAAATTTGAAGACTTTGAACCTAAATTTAGAACTTTCGAACTTTTCAAGGTTGTACCTCGAAGAAATTCGAAATCGCCGAATTTTTTAAAACTTGAGTCTCTATAAAATTTGTAGATTTAAAATTCTGAAAATGTGGGCTCTAAAAAAAATGGAACTCTTGCGACACGAACTTCCAGAACCGTTGCATTATGGACTGTTTCAAATTCAAACCTCGGCGGGGTACAAAAGATAGAAACGTTTCAAATTCGAAGTTTAAGAAGGTATGAAATGTTGGAAAACTTTAGAAATCAAAGTTAGGGAGCTCACGGCACCCTTACTTCCAGTTACACGGCGCTGTTAACGCGCACTCCTCTCAGAATGCCACGGGCGCGGGCACGTGGTTACGTTTCCCCAGCATGCACAAAGTACGCGACAACGTAAAACCGAAACACAGAGACGACGCCGTTTGCGCGAAACCGCCGAAACCTGGGAAGAAAGATTGGCTCTTCGAAGAGAACAATATGTGGACCGTAGGCAGAGATCGAGGAAAGTTGTGGTGGCTGCATTCGAAACCGGCGACGCCCGGAAGAACAAACTAATATTACCCCTCTTCGCTTAGTCGGAACCCCTGTGCTAAATGCTAACGAATTTTGCCGAAAGCCACCGTAGCAAGGGCAGCGATTTCGCAATATTTTTTTTTAGAGCGCAGCTCTTAGGGGCCCGTTTCCGGCTTGAGCGGCGTCGCCGTCGGCGTCGCCGTCGCCGTCGGCGTAACCGCGCGGTGCATCATGGGAAATGTCCCATAATGCACCGCGCGAGCCCCCCACCGGGGTCACGTGACCTCGTGGGGGGTCACGTGACCCCCCGAGGTCACGTGACTCCCCTGTCACGTGACCCCCTCCTCAAGGTCACGTGACCCCCTCCTCGAGGTCACGTGACCCCCCGAGGTCACGTGACCCCCGCCGATGTCGCGTGACCCCCCGATGACGTCATCGTCACTGATGACGTCACCGGCATCCACATCGTCATCGTCATCATCACTGATGACGTCACCAGCATCCACATCGTCATCATCACTGATGACGTCACCGGCCTCCGCATCGTCATCGTCATCATTACTGATGACATCACCGGCATCCACATCGTCATCGTCATCATCACTGATGACGTCACCGGCATCCCCATCGTCATCGTCATCATCACTGATGACGTCACCGGCATCCACATCGTCATCGTCATCATCACTGATGACGTCACCGGCATCCACATCGTCATCGTCATCATCACTGATGACGTCACCGGCATCCGCATCGTCATCGTCATCATCACTGATGACGTCACCGGCATCCCCATCGTCATCGTCATCATCACTGATGTCACCGGCATCCACATCGTCATCGTCATCATCACTGATGACGTCACCGGCATCCACATTGTCATCGTCATCATCACTGATGACGTCACCGGCATCCACATCATCATCGTCATCATCACTGACGACGTCACCGGCATCCGCATCGTCATCATCACTGATGACGTCACTGATGTCGTCACCGGCATCCGCATCGTCATCGTCATCATCACTGATGACGTCATCAGCGACGTCACTGATGACGTCACCGACATTCGCATCGTCATCGTCATCATCACTGGTGAAGCCATCAGTGACGTCACTAATGACGTCATCGGTACCCGCATCGTCATCGTCACGGATGACGTCATCAGTGACGTCAGTGATGACATCATCGGCATTGGGGGTCACGTGACCCCCAAGGTCACGTGACCCCCCCTGGTTAGTTTACCCCCCCCGTGCCCTTCCCTCCTCCTCCTCAAGAGCTGCGCTCTAATTCGGCGTTACAGGGAGTTGTAAGCGGCTTTCATTTTTTTTCTTTCGTTTCCCCCACAAATTACAAAGATAAAGGGGGAGCGGTTCGCCTTACGACACATATGTGGCGCTGTCTTCAGGACACTTTCCTTCTCGTCTGCCGCTCAATCTCCCACTTTTACCACAACCTGGCTGTCTATAGGAATGGTGACTAAAGCGCAGTCTCTCTCCCTACATAGAAGGCAATGTCACAAGGATTAGGCTTGGAACAAATGGGAAGGTGTTGTGTTCTTTCACTTCTCGTTCTTATCCTTCGCGTATTTTGCGCTGTTTTCAAGCTTTCAAGGTGTTTTCGTAGGAACTTTGAAGGTACTTCTTAAAGCGGGGTATTTGCTATGTTGCTTGCAGTTTGTCGGTGGGAATGGCGCTACTGCCCACTGGACAGCTGCGCCCAACGACTTCGGTGTGGGATTGCTTGGGACTGATTGTCTGATTTTCTATGCAGGTTGTCTACAAAGCAGGCAGTAATGCATTTTGTGAAAATGTCGAGGGACATGCAAGAGGATGCTGTGCATGTAGCCATCCAGGCCCTGGAGAAGTGCCAACGTGGAAAGGACATTGCGTTCTACATCCAGAATAAGTTCAGCGAGAAGTATGATGCGTTCTGGCAGTGCATCGTGGGGACCAACTTCGACTCGTATGTGCATTATAGAATAAGGTGTCATATCGACTTCCAGCTAGGCCATATGAGAATCCTGCTCTTCAAGGCTATATCTACCAGTCACTGCGTGCCTTCTTTGTATGAAAATCGGCGTCGTGATCAGTACCTTGATTCATCCTAGACGATAAATGTTCGCAAGCATCGACGTAGCGCTCTAAGGTGTTGCGGCCAGGCAACGTGAGGCAACCAGACTCTCAGACGACATCATAGCCGTACGGAGACTTGGCACGCCATAGCACGCATTGACGGAGCTTTTACTCCGACCACCAATACATATCATTAAAAAAAAACAAAAAAACAGCTGCTCTGAAGAAAAAAACAATGTTGTGATTGTTATTGTCGAGCTTTTTCTGGAAACAATAAAAAAATCGGTTTTGAAACGATTCTTTCGAAAAACTCAACTCGGATAATAATGTAAGCAGGACAATATGGAGCAGAAATGTAAATACTGCAGTACAAGTAGATTTTGGCAGTTATTAGGGGGCTGCTAATGAATGGGCATGCGTTTGGAAGTGTTGTTAAGATTTTGGTATAAGTACACGAAGGACGGCTCCGCTTGCTGTAAGAAGGAGCTTCCGAGTACTGGCGATTTCTTTCTTCAAGACCGCCACTTGTGCTTTGAGCGCTCGTCTTCATTTTTAACCAAGTTTTGGACGCTGTCTTTATAGTGTCCTGACCTGCTTGATCGATGAGCACAATTCGAGTCCCGTCCATTTTGTCTGCATTGACAAAGTACGCCTTCGCTGCTTCGGTGACTCATGGCTTCGTGGCAGTTGTACTGTCTCATGACATCGTCCATGATGAGCGCCAGCCAGTCCAACAGTCACGTCAAGTGGAGTTTGAAATGACTCTCCCGGGGCGATGTTCGTATAACAGGTGGCTCAGATGTGAAGCAGCATACCAGGAAAAGATGTAGGGCTAAGTAGCGGCGGTTGTAGTGCGGCATGGAGATGTGCATCATCATTAACTTGATTTTTTGGGCAGATTGCCGTCGGCTTTGGCCACACGCTTTAAAGGAGAGCACTCTTTCTGTTGACAAGGTTGCATTCAGGGATGGGTAGTATTTTAAATACTTTGTGTATTTTGCACTTGTATTTAATTACAAATTGGGTAATGTATTTGACGTGTGTATTTAAATACTAAAACGTAGGTATTTCAAATACAACTGTAAATAAATACAATTTTGTGGGCGAAAATACATCCCTCAAATTTATTGTCACTGTCCAGAGCAGGAAGAAAACTACGTTCTGCACCGAATGCAGTGTCTCTCAATCAAGCACAAGCGTTTAGTGACCTAGTGATTACGGTGCTAGTCCAGGGCAAGAATAGTGATGAAATCGACGTTCACATGCAGACTGGCTAAGTAAGTGCCTGTGACAACTTGTGATGCTTTCCAGCTTGATTTCCATCCATATTTTTGCATGGAACATTCTAAATGCGCGGGTCGTACAGATTTTCGTAACTGGTGCGAGTTGCGCGTCTTGGTCGTCTCGGTTCTTTGTTGGTCTATACCAAAATGTATAATCGGCAAAAAAAGCAGCTTGAAGCTCTGTACTTCTCTCACCTATTACGTCCAAGCTGATTACATTTTTTTTGTGATTATATTTCTATAACATTACTAGAGCCTCGCACACTAACTCCCGAGTGTGCGATGCAAAATTAAAATGAGATACCGAGAAACCCGTTGCAGGTGCCCTGAAGTCGCTGACGCAAATTTTAAGGAATGTATTTGAAGGAGACCAAATACATTTGGTTGTATTTGTATCTTGTACTTAAATGCTTTTTTGGAAATGGAATTCGATTTGTAATTAAATACATTTTTTACGAAGTATTTTGTATTTGTATTTCAATACATATTTGCATGTATTTTGCCCATCCCTGGTTGCATTTGAATAGCGTGACAAAAAAAAAAAGGTAGGAATAGCATCCTTTTTTAATATTTTCCTTTTTTGTCCCCTCAGGACAGCGGGCAGCGCGCCTCCCCATGGCGGCGCGGAATGGCTGAAAGCAAGAGCGCAGAACTTCAATGTAGCGCAAGGTGCATCGATGCACGAGGCGCGTGCAACGTGCAGCCCATGTGAAGATCATGGCGGCACAGCGCAGCACTGAATTGCATTTCAGACGCCATGTTCTTGCCAGAAGTGGCGCGCGGCACGTGTCTCGAGCATTTCCACAACAATGAATGGCGCCACTTTTCCCATGATAGAGGGGCTTTCACGTAGAACCCGTAAGGAGCCCCTTCTCCGGGCCTCTGGCCACGCCTAACACGTGACCCAAGAGGGGGGAGAGAGGGCCTGACACGTGCTCCAAGAGGTGTGAGAGAAGGGCGGCCGAGCCAACACCTCCTTGAAGACAAGGCCATAGCGCTCTAAGAGGTTACGTCACAATGGCGGAGGAAGGAAGTCCATGGCGCAACTACGTGAGGATACGCTATCGACGTGAAAAAAATGTCCCTTGACAAGCGGCGTGGTGTTTATTTTTTTATTGATTTATTTACAATACCCTCAAGGCCGTGAGGCGTTAGAGAGGGGAGTGGGTAATACAATATTGATTAATCACTTCGCGAAATGCGGCGGAATCCTTGATGGCTGCGATGTCACCGGGAAGGCCATTCCAGTCCACAATTGCGTCGGGGAGAAGGGCGTTTCGATAAGCTGTGGAAAAACATCGTGGCCGGGCTATTTTTTTCGGATGATCTAGTCTAGAGGATGAATAGGTTGGCGGAGTGAGAAGAGTCTGATGTAGTAGAAGGGAATAATAGACTTTATGCAATAGGCACAGACGAAACATTTTCCGTCGGGTAGCAAGTAAGGGAAGAGAAAGGTCAGATTTCATTCGAGTAACACTAGAAAAACGTGAGTAGTCAGATGCAATGAACCGGGCAGCACGGTTTTGGACAGCCTCAATACTGTCTGTTAATGAAGAAAGGTGAGGGTGCCAAATGGAGGATGCATACTCTAATTTGATCGTACTAAGGAAATGTAAAGGAGTCGCTTTAGGTTACTTGGGACAAATCTGAAGTTGCGACGGAGGTAACCTAGGCTTCGGTCAGCAGCAGACACCACTGAATTGATATGGCTGTCCCAAGAGAGGTTTTTTGTTAGAAGAACACCAATATACTTGTACGTGTCAGTTTGTTGTAGAGGAACATCATTAAGAGTAAGAGTAGAGGAAGTTTGGAAGGTGGAACGAGAGAAGCGCATGTGTTTACATTTGTTAACGTTGAGGGACATTTGCGAATTACTACACCAGTTATTAATAGAGTTAAGGTCATCTTGTAGCGCTACAGAATCAGAGGGAGATGCTATTTTACGATAAACGACACAGTCATCTGCAAACAAACACATTAATGAGGACACCTGGAGTGGAAGGTCGTTGATGTAAATAAGGAAGCGTAGGGGACCAAGGACTGTTCCTTGGGGCACACCGGATGTTACAGGGGCCAAGGCAGATGAAGAGTCGTTAGCATAAACAAACTGGTTTCGTTGCGAGAGGAAAGATTTAATCCATGATAGTACGTTGGTGCCAAGGTTTAACGATGAACGTTTTAGTAGCAGTTGGTTATGTGGTACTTTGTCAAAAGCTTTAGCAAAATCAAGAAATACAGCGTCGGTTGGTAAACCGGAGTCGAGGTTAGTAAAAAGGTCATGGGTTAAGCAAAGAAGCTGTGTTTCACAAGAGAAATTTTTACGGAAGCCGTGCTGTGCCTTGTTAAAAAAGGAAATGGAATCAAGGTAAATGGATAGATTCCTATGGATTATGTGCTCCAGTATTTTCGAAGATACAGAAGTAAGAGAGATAGGCCTATAGTTTAAGGGAGATGATTTATTACCGCTCTTGTGGACCGGAATGACCTTTCCGATCCTCCAATCGTCAGGAACTGCCGCTGCATTCAAGGACTGCTGGAAAATTTTGGCTAAAAAAAGACTCGACGAACACACTGTGCCCTGCAGTATTTTAGAGTTGATGTTGTCGACGCCAGAGGATGAAGACACTTTCATAGATTTGATAATTTTTACAATACCGTCAAAATCAACATGTATTGGATCCATATAAGGGGCGTTGTTAGCAATGGTTGGTAACAATGCTAAAGGACGTGGGATGGTGAACTGAGCAGAGAACATGTTATTTAAAACTGAGGCACATTGACTCGCCTTTATTTTGTTTTTAAATTCATCTTCCAGGTTAAGTGGCGAGCGCGGGGTATGATTAACAACTTGCCAGAATTGGCGAGGGTTATTAAGGAGCAGGGATGGGAGGGTTTCCTGGTCGAAAATACGCTTCTGTTCCGCAAGCATGCGCTTGTACTCATTTGCGCATTCATTATACCTGTCCCAAGACTCAGTGGTGTTATTATTTTTGGCTGTCCGAAAACGGCGTTTCTTTTTATTGTTGAGTGTTTTCAGCGAGCGCGAGTACCAGGGGTTAGAAGATCGGGAACTTATGGTGGTGCTTGGAACATGTATTTCAACAAGTTCTAATAATTTGTTCTTAAATTTACACCAGTTTTCGTTCACATCCCTACTATCAAATTTATCTAAGAAGACTGAGAAGTAATTTGAGAGGTCCATGTTAAACTGCTCATAATTTCCTTTGTTGTATAGCCTTATCGTTTTAACAATTCTTATATGTTCAGGCGCTTGAAATGCTAGGTCACAATGTACTGCCTTGTGATCACTTATGCCTTCGAATCCAGACAGCGACGAGACACACTCAGGTTGATTCGTTAATACCAAGTCTAATATATTTGAGCACACGTCATTTACACGCGTTGGAAAAGAAACCATCTGGGACAGATTGAAATCTAAACAAAATTTAACAAACTCACGACCGTCACTGGTAACACAATCTTGATCAGGAGAACTCCATTTAATATCGGGGAAATTAAAATCACCAAATAAAAGAACAGGATGGTCAGGAAGTTGCACACATAAAGTGGACAGCTCGTCATGCAAAGAAGGCACAAAATTAGATGACGCGTCGGGTGGCCTGTAACAGGCGCCAAGCAGGATTGATTTAAAACCGCATTTCATTGATACCCAGATTGCTTCGATAGAGCTCGAGATAAAGAAAAGGGAACTTTGAATACTTTCATGCACGCATATTACAACACCACCACCA